ATCGGATCTCAAGATGAAAACTCCAAAAAAAGGCTTCAATCGTAAAATTAACTTCATTTATTATAGCTGTTATTTGAAGTTACGTTACAAGATTAACAACATATACAATATATGATTAAGATCTCGTATTTGACCTTGCACACCTCTGGTGATAGCTTGTCTTCAAATTAATACTTAAATCTGTGCACGTGGAAAGATTTTAAGTCATTTTCAAAGGTCATATTATTCAGATCTTCATTGACTAACAAAAACTTAACCTTTCCTAAAAGCGCTATTCCTTGCTCTAAAGTCAAACTAATTTATATAGTTGTTTCATATCCATGTAAATAAATATCGCTGAGAAGGTAGCAATTGTTGAGATTGTGAAATTGGTGAATCAATTCCAGTTTTTTCTTGATTCGGCAGAGTATCTCGTGCTTTCACTTAGTTTCGCTTGTCCCACTTTGTCCTTTGGATTAGCAAATCGTTTTAAACCTTCCTATTCTCGGAAGAAGAGGGTTCAGGAAAAGAGTACTGTAAAATTCCCCTTACATACTCTGTTCAGATCTGACTTTGGTGCTAAAAAGTGACTTTTCTTTAGACGGAAACGAGTTACTCAACTGTGCCGAGGAGTGGAAACTGTTGGTTGGGAAGACGAAGATTGAGGCTCAGCGTGAGTTCATTCATATGACTAACAAAATGCTCACCAGGTATGGATGGAATCCACCAGAAGGATGGGTTTGATCCATTTTCTATTCATGTCTTGCGATGAAACAGCACACAGCTCCTATCCTAAGATTCTGATCGTAAACAGTATTAGATCACCTAAACTCCATGAATTCCTGATTGCTTATTTTTGTCCGCTGTTTTTTCAATTTGGAATGTTCAAGCTAAGGATTGGCGCATATGGATTTCTTCTATTCCATAGCTTTTTCTGTCAAGAATCGTCCACAGAGATGAGTTTTTAAAACCGTAATTTTGTAAGCCCATCTTACATTCTAATCAACATCTCCGCTTTTTGCATAAAAAATCTTATGTAATTTTATTCTACCACAATGAAATGGCAGCTATCCACTGCGGAGTTTACACATCAATACAAACTTTGGTTGATTTATCTCGCAGATTAGCCTTGTCGCGAAGAAATGCGACTGTGGCGAGAGAGCGGAATATCTGTTAGATTCTAGAAAATCTTGTTTTCGTAATCGTGATGGGATCAGGGTCCTTGAACAAAAATGTCAACTTCATTGGTTCAGAATGATCACATATTTGTGCGTACAACGTAACAATCTGATAATAAGTTAGGACGATGCTAGAAGGCATCGAATCAAAAAAAAATAAATACAGACAAGAATCGAGTCGCATTTGTTCGCGATTGCACACGATAGCACTATGATTGCACATC